GGTGTCGCTATGTGAGAAAAAGAAAGGATGCCTAAGGATGGCAGGATGGCATACAGGATACTGAACAGGATATCCTGGAACGAGGAGGCGCAATTGGTTGGGGAGCCCCTGAGTCGACTTCAGGGGATCACTCTTTTTCTCTTGACTCCATCTGAGGATCGCTTTTGGTCGCCAGTGTCTTTTGGACCACGAGAGGTCCGTGTCGTTGGTGGGTCATAATGTCATGATATGCCGCATGCATATGTCACCAACAAAAACTTGAGGTACACATTCCTGCAGAACACACTTATAAGAAAAAAAAAGAACTCAAAAAGTTTGGGGCGTGCCATCACATGCAACGATGCTCTGAAGTCGATGGACCAGTTGGCTGGAAGAAGCTATGGGCTTGGCTTACGCTGATGTTGAAATATGTTGAAATATATCTTTGCTATACACATACCCCAGGAACTGCTGATAGGGATCTTTCAGGAGAGAAGACTCCCACCTGGATCCTCAAACCACTGATGGTCAGTGGTCCAAGACTGTCAAGACATGACGCAAGAAGTGCTTCTTTAGGGGCGAACAGCAATTGCCACCGTTACCACAGGTTGTTTCGGGGATCCAGGCATTGATTGAAAGCATTCTTGGCGTAGTCCGGCAATTCTGTGCCATACACACGATCCAATGAGGCTGCCCAAATGCTGTTGGAAAATACCAAACAGGTATGGTAAAGGATCTGTCGTGCCCCAGATTGCCAATACATGTCTGGAACAAAAAAACGGTTCTGTCTGCTTGGGGAGCATGATATGGCGACCCCAGACTTGTTAAGCAGACTAGCTAGTCTTCAGTCTTCAGTCTCTCCTGGGCCTAAGACCCATGCCATATCATGCTGTATGTCTCTCCAGTCTCTCCATTTCAGCCCGGATTGCACCACCAGAGCTCTTCAGACGTCCACGTTCGTGGTGGAGCTCCATGCACCCTGGTCGATGCGCTTCATCATGGCCTGCCACTCGTCCGCGGACGTCCGCGGACGGGGCGTCGTGACGGGGGGGTGGTTTCTTGGGTGATGCTCTTCTGACCAGGCAGCCGAGCCGATCCACGCTGGGTGAGCGATCTGCGCCCGAGTAGCGAATTGGCGTAGGTCACCCTGCACGGCTTTAAAAACGCTCGGTGGCCCCGAACACCCCGACGACCAACCGGATGAAAATGGCCCTTTACTGGGAAGACGAAGGTTTCTGAATACTAAACAGGGGGGGCCATCCTGTGCCATCATGCCATCCATGTGACATAGCTCCAGGGATTGTACCTACTCTGGAACTGGAAGAGGGCAAACCACGCTGCGGCAGCGGTGTGTGTTCTGAAAATCTCCCACTGGATATCTTCTATCAACAGGAGTCGAGGATACCGCACAAGATGTCTGGGCCGGCGTGCGAGCCAAACTGAATGGATCAGCCTACTCGACACCATTCACTTGGAGCTTCTTGCCATACTTGAAAAGCTGGTTTCATCTCAACATCTGGAGGCCCACTGGTCGGATCAATCACAAGTCACAAGTTGAGAGGAAACTTAAATTATGGGGCTCTGTCGCTCCCTCTCATTTGGCTCTGTCGCTCCTTCTATTTGGGCCGGCCTTGAGCTGCTTCATCGGTCCCACTTCATAGAATTCCGTGAGCCCATCCTGCTTCCGCGCGGCTGGCTTAGCTTTCGGTGTGCGGACACCGCCGCGTCCGGTGTCCTTCTCCACCTTCCAGCGGACCCCCCCGTTCCGGTCGGTTTGGGGGACAAAGCCGAGCTTTTTTGGACCATGGCCGGACCGGTTTTGAGGGAAAAAAACGGTTTTCGGATGTGTTCGGTGTGTTTCTTTTGTCTCCTTCCGCCTGCTTCACTGGAGAAAAGCACATGGTGTACACAGAGAACGATGTGCCGTATCCCATCACTGCAAAGTGTACATGCCATTTGTTTTCCTTATGCTCTCTTGAAACCCCCCACTGCGGTAAAAGATTCTGGAAGGGTCAGTGAGGCCAGGGACGTCCTGCCCCGTTTTTGCTCGGCTCCTTGATCATGAGCCTCACCGAGGGCTCCCATAGCACCGCGGAGCACAACTGCTGCGCCAGCAGTGGCACGATCTCCGCCGGCGGAGTGCCGGCCTGGCGAGCGGATGGGCCCATCCCTACGAATGAGATACCTACCCTACCCATCCCAAACCACGATTTTCCCAGCCAGCTGTCTGGGTGAAGGCTGGCCCGGCCCAGCCAGTGTCTCCCGGATCTAAAAGACACACCCATTTGCTCTCCATCTAAAAATCCAGACCCAAAAGCAACACATGCATATAGGGGTTTGGGAACCGGGTCCGGACCCATCTGGCGTTTTAGGGGTCCCTAAGGAACTATGGATTCTTCAGGTAGGAACATAGAACCACGATTGATTTCATCGCCTGAGTCCCGAACGACCATTGCTTGACGGTAGCCAAGGAGTTTGACACTACAAACCAGATCCAACTGGCTCATCTTGGATCTGGTTTACCTCCTTTCTTTTCACCCCTTTCTCGCCTGGGTAGACTGGTCAACATGTTCCCGAACCGGAACCCCAGCAGCGGGGAAGATCGGGCGCCAGGCGCCAGGGCTGGGAGACCGCGAGACACGGCCGTGAGCTACACGGAGGGTGCGACTGGGGAATCCCAAGCCTACTCTCAACAAGGTTCAACAAATAGGGTACCTTTTGGTTGACATATGTGGGTGAAATGGAGTGATCCTGAACTGCTGGGAGATGGCGCCTGTGAATCGTGAATCGTCCTTTTTGCATAAATCGGTGTGCATGTCGCGGTGCGTCCCCCCAAAAAAGGGGGATGGCAGCACTCCATGTCCTTCCTTCCTCACTTTCTACCAACCTCTTTTTACCCAAAGACCTGGACTTCCCCTCACCTTGATCTTCTTGCCAGTGAAGTTCATGTACACATCACCTCAGCCGAACACGTTCCAAACCGCCGCGTTGGACCTTTTGAAGTACTACAAGATAGTCCTTCATCGCTCGCGCCAGGAACTCCTCGCGCCCAAAAGGGGCGCCCCGACATCTGGGTGGCTTCATGGAGGGCAAAAGCCTGCCGGTGCCGTGTGAAGACTGAGACGAGACTGAGAGGGACCCACGGAGCCATGGCAGAGGACCCCGAGGTTCGATGGGATGTTGGACCCCAATCTGTCTCGGACATCATGGGAGGTCTAATTTGGGAAAAGGATTGAAATCTATATACCTAAGACACCCGGGGATGTAAAGGAAGATGATGTATGAAGTTCAGAGGATGCAGGTATAGGTGAGGAGGAGAATTTTCTGAGATGAGTCGTGCATAGTTGTGCTATGAATGCAATGATTGGAATACTGGCTTCGCAAAGGGCAGGTGGTGAAACACCGACCAGTGGCACTAGTGAGTAGTGGCTCTCCTCAGTTTGAGCTCAACAACCGGGGATGTGGGGCCCATGCCAGGTCCTGGGGACCTAAACCACTGGCTTCTGGGACCTCTGCATGCCGCGTTTCTGCCGAGTTCCGGCACCTCTGCAGGGTGGCCTCCAGCTTGGCTTGTGCGGGCCTGGGCACTTGAGGCACGAGGAGGTTCGCTCGAACCCCCCTCTGCCACTGTTGCCCGGCTCAGACCATCTGTGGCTTTCACTTGGGAAAACCCTCTGCGAGAAGGTCGGTGCATCCTGAACACCTCCACAACACCACCCAGGAGGCCACTTCATCAGATCCAAGGAGGCCGCTTCATCAGATCCGTGTGGAAGCCACCAGAAGTCTTCAGCCTAAGGTGCTGGGAGGTCGAAGCGAGAACACAGACCTCAAAGGATAGCCAGAACCACTCTGGCCAACTCGGCAACTCTATCCTTTGATGAGAAGAAGGATTGTCCCCAGGAGTTCCACGGAGCTTCGGTGCTATCCATGGAGCTTCGGTGTGCCCAGAACATCCCACTCACGTAGGTTCTGTGAAAACACCACTCCTTTGTGACTCCTGGAAGCTTCTCAACACTCTTGATTGATAGGACATACAAAGAGTTCTTCTGCTGTTGTTCTATCCATGTCTGGGATTGTCTGGCGGGTATATATTCATCCAGATTTCAACTTCTGGCCATTTCCTTTTCGGTGTACAGCCCTTGTGGCACCCCCCAGAAGCCTGGCAGGTGCGGCAGGTGCTCGTGAGCGTGCTCCGAACATCCATGTATACGCCCTGGTTCAGAGACCCACATGGAACCTCAAAACCACTGGCAAAGGTGGGAAGCCTTCGTCTTCCTTGGTCCAATGAGTCCAATGCCATCAGGTTCCAATGCCATCTTTCTCGGGTTCCCCGGGTGGATCGACACCAGTGGAGATCGGGTGAGCGAACAACTGGTTTTTCTGGGCATCCGGACAACTTCGCCTGCATCGCCCCAGCTTTCTCGGCTGCCTCCTGGCAACACATCCCATTTGGGACCAAGCAGATGCAAGGAACACATGCGTTAAGCATGACGTTTGGGCCACTCCCGGTCAGTCCGGCCTTCGTGCGCACTGCCAGTTGCGACATTGGAGGAGGTTCGTGTTCGAGGAAAACCACTCGCTCAGCCGGAGTACTGATGGCCCAAAGCCGGAAAGAACTGGCCTTCGTGCCACCTGCGTGCCCCAGGCCTTCGCTGTGGGGCCAGAAAACCCATCCTAAACCACTCACTAAACCCTCGTGACGAGGTGTTTTCGGCCCGAAGCGTCCGTGCGAGTCCGAGACGGCCCAGTCCGAGACGGTTTCGCATCACGACTTGGATGGGCGGCCTTCAACTTCTTGATCGCCGGCTCAGTACCAGCCTAGGTCAAGACCACGGCAGGAGGCAAGCTGCACTTGGCCACAAGTAAAGTAAGTTGAGACCCATTCTGAAGAAATAGATAATAGATTTATAGTAGAGATCCTATCCAGCCACCAGACTGGGCCACAATTGTTATGTTTTGGAATAATGTTCCATTCTATCTGCTCGTAAGGACCTACACTTCAATCATCTTGCCCCTGTTTTCCACGCGCCACTCAACCGATGCCACGCCATGTTCGGCGGCTACGAAATCATCAGGTGATGGCGACCAGGTGACCAGGATCCCACGAGCTATGTAGTGGGAAGCTAATGGACATGAGGATAGCTTGTAACCGCCAGCAACGACAACTCCACTCTTTTCTACAATCAACTGCCTCTATGGCTATGGAATCTAGAACTACCACCAAGTGACCAAAGTCCTTCTGAGAGAGTGCAGCGAGGCGGGCACAAGCTCTATGCAACACGCGCTCGTTCAGCTTAGTCATCTGGTGCCCAGCAAGAATGCACACCTCATCAACAATGGCATGCTGCTGCTATGGCCAAACCGTGGTTCTGAAATGTTGTTTGAAACAACCACATATATATACAAATAAACAAATAAATATATATATTATATATACAAACATGATACAAACGGGTTTTTGTCGTGAAGTCAGCTTAAAGTGACTGACATCTACATGAAGTTTGGGAACACGGATGCTTTAGTGGTTTGAGCCAAAGATCCAAACCCAAAGATCTCTGGCTGACACCCACCAGCTGAGCCGAAGGTGCTTCAGAGATCTTCGATGTTTCTTGATCTTTTGGGAGTTTGCTTCGTAAAAGGTTTCTATGCCGTCTGTGCCTTTTTGTGATCTCTATGAAATGGACCACCAGACACCCAAGCACCATGGGCCTTTTTCCTGTCAAAACAAAGGTCATGTCTGGGCTCCAGGTGATTGTACTCAAAAGATCTCAAGGTTAAAGTTTGGGGTTTACGGCGACGTTCGCCACTCCGAAGAGCTGCTTGGCACCGCTTCGAAGCGCCTCGGTCCCCCGTCATTCTTCAAGAACGAAGGTACGCTCGTTGAAGAATCCAGGCTTATCGAGTGTACGTTGAGTGCTTAGAGTGGCGAAAAGGCAAACCTGTTCGAACATTTGTGGTGCAAAAGACAGATCCCGAAATAGATACCGAGTAGGCACAAACCCATCGGTGACTTGGCTGGCTTGGGGGGTTCTATATACATGTACAAGTACCCTGAAAGTCCAAGACTATTTGTTGTCAAAAGTTACCAAGCATAAAAACTAGAAAACAACCTTTAGGCCACTTCCTTACTTTACTTCAACGATGCAAACTATCGTCTTCACCGGACTGACCTAGGCTACAAAAATCTGCCGACATGACTGGTCCCATGGCCCCAGCAAACCGGTTCGCCCAGCGGCCCCAGGGACTTAAAGGCCCCATGTCCAGCGTGACCACGGGGCCCTCCTGGACCCGGCGAGCATCCAAGAGCACCAGGCGACAGCGCTCAGCGTCTCCATCGTGCACCACACCTGAAGACGGCCAAGACGGCCCGGTGCTTTGGACTCGAAATGGGCCGGACCGTGTGACGTTGGCTCTTTGGGGGGGGCGTGATGTTGAGAACCCGGCTTGAGCGCCAGAGGTTTGTTAAGTTTGTTACCGTATACCAATAAAGCCAGATTCACATCAGATGTAGGGCCTGAAAGAAAAACTTCTTCCGAGAAACTCGCCAGCCAGCCATCATCCTCTTGCTCTTCTCCCAGCCACTCTGTAGCACCAGGACTGTTGGGCAGGAACAGGGGCTCAGACACGAGGCACCTCAGGAAACGGAATCAAGGCTGGAAAACGTGCTTTCGTCCTTCGTTGAAAATTTCAGAGAGCATATTTGTTCTTTCCTTCTGCGGAAGTGTGAAGTGACAAAAAGATACCAAAAGAACATCTAAAACAAACCAGAATGATGTTTTCCAGCTCTTATGCCCTACTTGCAAGTTGAGGAAAAGCACTTGCTCCAGCTTGCTCTCGTGGTTTTATCATGGTTTCATGCGGAAAAAGACAACTCCAAAAAGTGGCCGAGAAACCCATCCCCAGCATCCCAATTCGTGACCTCGCCACTCTGCAGATCTGCCTGACGCCGGGGCGCCACTCCGAGTTCAGGCTCGTTTGCTCGTTTTGGGCATCTTCTTCGGGATCACCGGGACGGGGACGGTACATCGGCCCCCCAAAATAGATAGAAGATAGGCCGAAGTAAAGATCTATTGGAAACCGGTTCGATCTGGACCACGGTGATGGCGTGGGGATTGGAAGTCCAGTCGAGCCGTGCAGGCATTCACGGTGATTGCAGGTGTGAAGTCAAAAGCACAGCACCACCCATCATCACGGTGCCTGTGCCGCCGCCCATTTTTGGGGGGGGCGGAGGAGGTGGCATTCTACGGTCACCTGGTTCGTTGGGACTCCCAGTCTTCTCCGTCCCGAAAAACACCACGCCATGGTCCGGCATGGTTGGTCCGGCATCTGCAAGTGGATGAAGGCAGTCACGCGGTTTTGGACTCCCTCCGCTCCAAAAAGCTCCTCCTCCTCCTCCTCCTCCGGGTTCGCCGCGCTCGACCAGCCGAGCACTTGGGACAGGACCCACCCATCAGCAGCGGAGGCCCAGCTCACGTCGAGGGAAGAATCGATTTCCGGCTGCCGAGAAGCGCCGGACAGGCCGCAATCCCAGGTTGCTTCGTCCGGTGCATGAAACAAACTCGAGTTCACTCAAACAAACGGCCTTCCTTGGGCCGTCTCGCGAGGTGGAGAATTGGCGTGTGACATGGTGAAGGTGTTTTTGCCGCCAATCCCAAGCGTGAGAGAAACTGGCGAAGTCTCTGAACGGACGAAGACCCCCAGAACCCCCAGACCCGCCGTGGTCCGTGCGAAGTCTCTACACAACGGCCGCCTTCAGCAAGGAGCGGAAGGGAAACCATCCCTCTGGACGCCAAGCACCGGAGAAGTAGCAATACCGCGCCTCACCGACGGCCGTCCGAGAGGTCGGGGATGCCAACAAGCGAGGCCACCAAAGAATCCCAAACGTACCTGGACCTATTGGGGTTGCGCAAAAAGAGAGATTCACAAGTCATGTATGGTCATCTATTGGCGACCCCGATTTCAGAAGGTGCGTACGTGCAGATGGGCTTGTGGAAGAAATGCCAGGAGCCCATGTTCGTCACCATTTACCTCTCCTTTTCACCCTTTTATAGGCTTCTGGCCCATGTCCAGTCCGGACATGCGGTGGCGGATTATAGGGTCCCTCACGAGCATGAAGGCAACATATTTGGCTGAACGTTCTATTTATCCCAGAACCGGGGAAACACCTGTCTTGATCGGACAAAATAAATGTTTGGGATCCAAAACAAGGTCCCTCAGGCTCTAGGTCTAGAAATTGAATGAGAAGGGGTTTCTCTCACTTTTGGGGGGGGTCGTGCGTCATGAGCCGGGCGAATCACTGCGAATCACTGGGTTTCTTCGCTCTGAAACCCGGACGGAGACAGCCACCTTCAGGCCATCCCGCAAAGGGTGGAAGGTCGGCATATCCACTGGGACATCCTGTCCACCTCGGGTGGAAAGCATCGCATCCACTGAGCAGCTTCATGTCACTCTCGTCGTGAACAGAAAGCATAGGGATGCATAGGGGCATCTTATTCATCCAGTCTACCTGAACGCGTTTCTTCCACAGCCCAAAGCGGCACCCGCCCACGGAAATTCTCCCAATACGCCCCCCCGAAGAAAACAAAGGTGCAGATGTTTCTCGGGATTTCCGAAGAATCTAAACCATCAAACTTCAAATCGTATCTTTTCTTCGGGTCACCCCGGAATCAAAGAGGTGTTTGGAGCGCGAGATAGGGCTCGCAACAGGTTCAATCAGGCCTATAAGGCCCTAAAGCCTAAGGATCGCGGACTGAAGCGGACAAAAAGGTGGGATCAAACAGATCTGATCCCGTACACTCTGGAAGATTCACATGGAACCCCAAAACCACTTGGTTGGTCTTCGGAAACATCGTCTTCCTTTGCAGGTCCATTTGATCAGGTTCCATGTGGGTCTCGGGACCCGAGACGAATTTCCGATTGTACCGGTAGTTAATACATAGGTGAAGTACATAACTACAAGTACCAGGAGTCACAAGACGGGGTGGTTTGGCTCGTCCCTATATAAGTGAGTGGATGTTCTGGGCACCCCGACTTCCTCCATGGATCGCACCCCTTTGTGACCCCTGGTATAGCTACAGTATACTCAAGTTTCACACGTTGGATAACCTGTTGATGATCAATTCTCAGACATCCCGTCTTCCCATCCCCGTCTTGGCCTCCGGACCCCGTAACCTCGAACGACCGAACGGAGCGAGTTCCGGTGTCGGCCCAGTTCCGGTGAACAACACCCGGGAGGAAACGACGATCCATGGGACTGGTAGGCTGTAGGTAGGCTGTAGATGCCGATGCCGACCCGATGCCGACCCCCTTTGAAAAACCACCCCTTTTCAACCGGAGATGAGATACACCAGTCCCAGGAGTCGTGTCTGAGAAACTGTTTTCAGAAAGACTTCACCAAGTGTGTTTGAAAACACCTCAACCGGATGGCCAAGTCCGACGGGTGGCTTGTGGCCTGCAGCTCGGAATCATGGCCGTTTCACCATGAGCCCCGGATCCGACCGGTCAGACCAGTGATGGTACGGTTCCGGTACGGTGGCCGACGGGCCGAGGGGTTCTTCCCTTGTGAAACTCACGGAAGATAAAAAGAGACCAGGACCTTCCAGGTCAAACCCTAAAGGACCAGGACCTTTCGATACCTTTCGTGACCGCACTTCAGGATTGGTATACGTGACCTTTTCTTAAAGGAAGGTCCTGGTACTTAAGATAAAGATTGTACTATTTAATATGATATTACTGAGTCGCTCTGGATCCCAGCTTCCACCTCCCACCTGCCGCCAAAGCGGCTTGTCTCGCAGTGGCACCTGCGTCCGCTCCAGCATTTGGTTGCCTTCCAGGTCCAGTTGAAGCCGGTGTAGCCGTGGGGGCCTTGGGAGGCTTCAAAGAACGCCGAGATGCACCTCTAAATCTTATAGCTTATATCGGTGTGTATTATTGTGCTTTTCTTCCTTCTTCCGGGTCCAACTGTGAGGTCGACTAGTCGTGGATTCTTGTGTCAACTCACAGGTCCTGTGGTGGAGCTGGCGAGCTCGGCTGGTGCGTTGACTGAGGTCGGGCACAGCTGCCTTGTTGTTTGAGTCTCTTGAAGGCGGTGTGGCTAGCTCGTGGGCACGCTCACTCCAACCTGTCGCCTGCGTCTTTTAGTAGACAAGTGACACAAGTGGACCAACTGCCTGAGAAGTCTTCGTCTTGGCGGAAGCCAGGATTCTTTGATAGACATGAATTGGTGCTTTTGGAGTCCACTCTGGTCCGCGTTCTTTCACTCACTTCGGGTGGCTTTACTTTCACTTCTGCTGCTCCGGGCTCTTTCTTTTGCTTTTTGACCTCCCCCTGCGCCAGATCAGAAGAATCACCTCGCCCAAAAAAAGCCTCTGAAAAAGGACACCGCCTTCGGACCATCAAACCCGGTCGTCCAACGGCGTCGCACCGATCACCGGTCCCTTCAGAGTGTCGCGCGACGCGCTCCGGCGACGCGCTGGGTGTCCGGGCGGATTGGTGGCGCTCGCGGACCACCCGATGGGATCAAAGTCCTCAACCCGCCACGAAAACACCGAGATGTCCCCCACGAAAACGACCCCAACAACTTCGTGGTCGACGCCCATGCCTTGACTGAAGTGACATGAAGTATCTTACCCCTACAGGCCGGTCCCGTCTGAAGTAAAACCTGGTCCATTGGCTTCATGGAGTGGCGTTTTTCGTTCGACCTCCTGTAAAGAATGCCAAAAGAAAGGTCCGTTCCTGACCTGCACAGCTCACCCCCTTCCTCTCCTGCTCCACCACGTCGAAACCCATTTCACCACCAAAGCGGTAGCGGTCAAAGGCAACGACTGCGCGGAGCGCACGACGCGCTCGCAGGCGCCGTGCGCGCGGTGGGCGGTGGGCGGTGGGCAAACATGTCAGTCATGACTTGGGGTCTTCATCTCTGAGCATCCATGAAAGATGAAAAACTCGTGTGGCACTTTCCGAACAAACCACCAAGTTGTAATAGTTTATAAAAGTTGAATCGATAGAACGCCCCGAGAAAGATCTGAATTTGAACCTCCCTATCGTTTTCCTCTCTGTTTGGCCACTTGCCGCCGAAGCTGCAATGCACCACCATCAACTTCTCTTCCTCGTAGGTGGGCCCCATGTGGAAGATGTTGAAGAAACCTCAGTGTTCGGAAGTGACCCCAGATCTTCGGACAGCAGGCGCCTCCCACCCTTGGCTCGGCTCAACGGGTAGGGATGAACGCGCCAGATTTAGAGACTCTATATCTGCCTAAAACCAATGCTTTTGAAGTGTTATCATACTTTGGGTGGTTGGCGGTCCAAAATAGAGGTCGCTCAGGTCGCTGGGGTGTTTTTTTCGGGGTGGTATGGTTTCACGTGTGTGATATCCGGATTGAGTCCTGGAGTTAACCAAAATCCTATTAGGTTCTGAAAGACCCGTCCTGAGCGCCTATTTCCCACTTCCCGCGAAGGTCAACTGCTCGGGCATCCGTTCCGCAAGTCATGCAGACTTAAGCAGACTTATATCTGATGAAGCATGGGAGGTGGGCGCACCCGAATGGTTTTTCTATGAAAGGGTTGTCATTATTACATATTATTACTATGTTGGCATCCGGTGGCCACTGCAGCGGGGGTTCCATTACTCTCACTTTGCCCGAATTACTTTCGGTTATTTATTCGGAAACAATCCCTTTAAACCGGATCCCCGTAGGGCCTAGACAACTTCCCCGTTAAACCGGGACGCCCGGGCAGAGGAGAGGGGCATCCAATATTTCTATGCTCAAATTGCGGCGTACAAAATTGCATCGCAATCGAGCTATTTTCGTAGACCAGTTTCTCTTACAAATTCCGTGTACATCATTTTACCCTTAAACCCGGTCCCCGTAGACCATGTTGCCTTCAACCGGGCCGCCAAGGCGAGTACCTCCTTCCCTTGACCGAGTCCTTCTTCATTGATTACCACGCCCACAAGCCGGACTTTGACCTGGTTGAAAATGACTTGACTGGACCCAGCACCTGGACCGAATTCAATGAAGCAGAACAGGTCATGCTTGCCCACGGAGATGAAACACGCTTCTCGTCGTTTTTTCGCTTGATGTGAGACTTGTGATCAAAACTTGGGTTTGAAACATGTCGAACTGCCAGACGCCTCTCCGCTTGATACTTTGGGGTGTCTTACCCGGGACTCTTTGGTTTCATACCTAGGTTGGCGTGTGGACCAGCCGCGTCCGTACACAATTTCCCGAGTGTGCGTGTTGCTGAAGGCCCTTTGCAGGGCGCATGCAGAGTGCAAGTTGCATTTTTAGAAGCATCGCGCACTTTGAGCCTGCGACTTCGGCAACAATTCTCAACCAACCAGTGCTACCGGCTCTACTGCGGCAAGCGCCTGCTTTGCCCAGGTAGACGGTGCCGAAAGTCTCCTCCAGGCGTAGCTCTAACCAAGGTTTGGAAGATGTCCTGCAAGGCCAGTCCAATCCAAGCTCCACCAAGAAGGACCAGTTTGGGATCCGGATATGCTTGTTGGAGACGCTGTCGAATGCTCCGCCTAGGGATTTTTTGTCCCGTTCCTCAAGCATGGTGTAGCTGTTCTTCTCTTCCCGCTAGAAGCTCCAAGGTTGTTGGGCTGCTCCAAAGCCGACTTTTGGACGATCTTGATGCTTTTCATCTCGACTCTTTCAATCGTTCAAACTTGTCTTTTCCTTGACTTCCTGTCCCTTGACTTCCTGGGTCCCTGCACTCCCCAAATAATTGCATTCCAATTAAATATGATCCCAAAAACAAGGCAATTCCAATCGCATATTTTCACGTAGACCATTCTGCCTGATTCTACCGGCTCCCCTTTTTTCCCGGGTCCCCAATAGACCACTTCCCAAACCGGGCCCCTGCACTCCCAAAATCATTGCATTGCACTTCGATGATTCTTCCCAAAAGCAATGGCATTCCAATCGATTATATATACTATTTTCTCGGGCGCTCCCTGCACGGGAGTCCAAAACCAGTTTGTAAAACGGTCTTTATAGGTGATCCGAAAAGGAATTTCCTTTACTTGGGTGGTGCCAAAAATTGTCTTTGGCCATGTTGAAGAGGTGTTTACAATCCCAATCAACAATTCTACATTATACAAAATATGCTTCCGTTCGGAGTCACCTGGCTGGAAAAGCCTATACAGTTACTTACAGACAGGTCTCCAGACAGGACACGCCAACTTAACGTGCGCGTTTGGCATTCATCACTCCATCTCATCTCAACGTCTCACCCACCGCTTTGGTCTGAAGTCCCAGCAGCGATCCAAAGGGATCTCCTTCACCTCGCCCGTCATGCCCGCCCGCGGAATCAAGAGAAAAGCACAGGCCTCGTCCTGAAGCCGAAGCCAACGTCACGGCGAAGAAAAACCTGTTGGAGTTCAAAGCACTCAACCCAAAGGAAGCAATTTTCACCTAAGAATCCTTAGGCCCTCCATACTGGAGGTCGAATCCTCCTAGCAGCACTCAAAAGTCTTTGCTCCCTGAGGGCACGGATCCTGGAAAGCGCGGATCCACCCCAAAATGTGTCTTCTGTCTTTTCTCTTCACTCTCAATATACCTCTCTTTCGATTCCCGGAAAGGACCTCAACAGCAACAGCACCGTGTGTTTGGTTCCCAAGTTCCCTCTCCTCCGCCATCCGAAAAACCTCCGTGCCCTGTGCCACACCCGAGAGGAACGCGAAGAGCCCCGGCGGATGGAAGCGCGCCGGATTCTTCGGCACCACCTCACGAAACGACGCCGCTCCGAGCAACGCCCGGAGCGGAAGAGGATAAGTCTGTCTCCCCTAGTCTTCCAAGACGATCAAAAGGAAGGTTGACCTGGATTTTCTAGTGCAAAATGCTTGGTAAAACTAATTGGTTGTTCGGTAAAGGCTGTTGAATTAAAGCTTTTGTTGGAGATCCTCCAAAGCCTCCGTCAGACTCCTCGTGGTCCTTCCCGGGCGCCCTTCCGGGATCAAGCGGAAGAAGAACGAACCGGCGGCGGAACCGGCTCAACTACTTGCTAGATATAAAGGATCTCAATTGCCATGCCAAATTGGAACAACCATTTTTTTCTGGTTGGGAGTGGGTTTCTAGGTGCCGATGTTGCAGGGTCTTGCCATCAGGCCATCAACGAGAGTTCGCCGATCTTTGCTGGCTAAGGTACGTAGTAGTTCTCGGTAAGTATCCAGTCATGCACCACCTCGTCGCAAGGACGAAAAAAGACGCTTGACAAAGTCCTAGAGGAACTCGACATGCACCCGCATCTGCTTGTGGAACCTCCAGCTACCTTTTGAGCTTGAAGATCAGCTCATGTTGCTGATGTCCAAGCCATGTTTCACTTCAAGGGGTAGTCAAGTAGTCAAAGCTTCCAAGCTGCGTCACCGCTCCGGGCCGTCACGCGGTTCCCCGCCGCGACCCTCAGCTCCGCGCCATAAAACTGGTCTGGTGCGTCCGCTCCTTAGAGTCCGTGGAGGGACGGATCAGGTGGGCTGCAACAATGGGTCTACTGTATAATGATTCATAATGATATTTATTTATATATATATATACATATTACATCTATTATATATATAGTAATATATAGTTACTTTGAGTAAGTTGCCAGCAGTTAGAATTCACTAGAAGTAATTACTTGCAGATCGAATTTGGAAACGAATTCCGGAAATCGGAATTAGTCCATATTCTAACTGCTGCAAACTTACTATATATATATATATATATACCTAGGTCCTCCTTCGTACCTTTATTTTAGTCGGGAGTTGACAAGGCATGGAAATACGCCGCCATGATCAAGAACTGCCGCTTCATGTCAAAACTGTCGTTTCGCACACGTCACCATGATCCAGCCTCCTCCCAGACAGAGCATCAATGACAACAGAGAGCCCCAAAACTCACATAGCACACAAACATGCGACTCCTAACCACAGAGTTCTTCGGGAGCTGATAAGAGAACCTGGACAATCCTGGAGAAAACTTTGGGGGAATATCAAACCTGTGTGGATCTTGTGTTGGTGCCTAGATCTCCTCACGGACAAAGGATAGAGAACCAAAGGATAGAGAACCATAAAACATCATAAAACACTGTTTGGATGGATCTTCAACAACCTTCGCAACCTCAGCCCGGCAGCAATGGCACTTTCTGTCGGGGTGCCTAGATCTCCTCACGCAGTCTGCCGTGCAGGAGACAGCCCTTCACAAGAAACAGGGTTAAAACTTTGCGTTCCATGTTTCGGGCGTCGACTCTCCGGCTGAGTCGTGAAACGCGGCCAACAACATCTTCGTTTTGTTCGCAGGCATGCATGATAGGATTTATGATTCTGGGCACTTGTGATCTCTTGAGAGAATGCCAAATCTCGAAAGCTTCGTGTTTCCAACTGTGTATCTTCGGAACCATAGCGAAAGCAACAATGCCAAATCTCATGGCCTGTTGGGCCAACCAACAGTAGCCAGTGAGCACAGTTGTTTGCATTTCATAGAGCTGTAAGGCGCAATCTCTGTCCAAAAGCAAACGGTGGCTGTACATCAACTCGAAACTGTCCTTGGCAGCCTTCAGAACTGTTCTCATCGCCTCCATGACCGGAGAGTGTTCAGGCTTCTTGGGGCTGAGCATGCACTGAGTTAGAAGGACCTGGAGCCACGAAATCAACAGCATGCAATCGCTCCCTTTGGTGTTAAACCAAGGCGATGTGCGTAGATTAGGCCACATCATCAGAAACTTTGTGATGGTCCTTAATGCTGCTGTTTTCTTGACTGTTTGGCACCACAACCTGAAGTGCCCAGTTGCCCTGACAAGGAGAATTGGGATCCCGTTTCCTTTCGGAGCCCCCACCTCATGAAAGTATTCCCACAGAATAAGGGTTGCAAGGACAGATGCAGCAAGGTGTCTGTAGATGCCCATCTTGCAAACGTGAAATGCATCCCTGCGGTAGAAAGATTCCGGTGAAGAACGGTCAAACGGAATTGCCATCAAAGGCGGGTGTGCATCCTCGCACCAAGGCCTTTCGGCATACATGGTGGCAGCCCAACTTGGCTCTTCCTTGACGTCCTCGAATGGAAGAAGACGAAGGCCGGCCATGCATTCGTGGCAGCACGCCAAATCTCGCACACGACCCATGTTGGAGTAGTACCGGTTGAACTGCCCGACAGCTGCATGCCATTTAATATCACCCTTCATACCAATGCAGACAACAGTATAGAGGCGGGAACCACACTCAATCCCATCATAAAAGAGACACCTCAGGTCCTGGGCGATGCGGTCTAAGAGGGCAGGGATCAATGCTGGAAAGGCCTTGTATGTAGCACATGGCAATACCCATAGGAGCCACTTGGTCAAGAAAGGGTGGCGCTTGTAGTTGTGTACTGCAAAGGCCGAATTGTCAGCAGCAACAGGAAAATCATCTTGGCATCCAGATCTTTTTTTGGTCGATTCTCTTGGGCAGCAATCGCATGAAGCTTTCCGCTTCCCTGTCCGAGAAGTCCCAACAGTGTCCAGTCCAATTGGGGTTTCCAAGGTGAACACTGCAGTTTGGCCGCGGCGGCGGCCGCGGCCTTCATCGCCATAAAGAAGCACTGGCAGACAGTACTCGAGGCTGTCCGCGTAGTGACGAAACACCTCATGGGTTCCATGCTTTGCTTTGTAGGTCGCCCAAAAGCCTTTCAGCAAACTGCTGATATCTGGAGGTTCGGAATAACCTCCAAATAGAAGTTCAGGACACTGAGTGAGAAGGAATGTCAGCAAGTGACGCTTTTGCTTAATGTAGACTCTTGATCAACAAAACCACTAAAGAGGCTTTACAATCCAAATGGGGGGTAGCTTTATTCATCAAGAGTCTCCATTAAGGAACGAGGCAAAAAGCTTTCCAGGAACAGACTTCATGTAAAGGGAATTCACCATGGAGAGAGTACAAATGCCCTAAAGTAAAACCAGGCTTCTAATCAGACGGAAAGTATCTCTGCTAGCATTGTGACCAGCTTTTCTATGCCACTCAGCTTTGGTGGAGGCGCCACACTCCGCTGCACGGTCAATGCGGCGTGCAGCTGAGCAGAAGGCCTCAGAGAGAAATGGGAGAAGACTGGGATGGAGCTGAAGGTTATTTTTTGTGAAATCCAACCAGGTCCCAAACCCCATCAGCAACAGCCTCTGCACAAGCAGCGGCTCGATCACGCCCTTCCTTCCCTGGCCAGAAAACGATAATGATTTCAAGCCTGAACACCAAAGAAATTGGCAGGGCTCACCACAGCACAGGGCTCGCCAATCTACATTTTCACCCCTGATTGTCGCAACATGTCATGTTGCTGAGCCCCAGCACCTGCTTCTAAGAAAGCAGGTGATTGTCATCGCAATCTCAGAAAATAACTTTGCTCACTGCACTGCCTTTTGCCCGTGAACATCGAGCGAAAACCCCCACAAAGCTCAAATGAGTCTAGTGTCCATGTGTTCTGGAAAAAGGGCATGGCAGAGATCAGAAACTGCTTCACTTTGCTCCCTTTTTTGGGAATAGGTTTTGGAGCAGTCTTTGCCTTGGGGGCAGTCTTTGCCTTGGCCTTTGGCCGGGGGCTCTCTGGTGAAGCCCGCTGCCTCTTCCCACGGGCACTCCCATTGGATTTAGTGGATGGTGGTTTCGGCATCACCTGCCTCATCCTGCCTTCCAGGGATACTGCATCAATGGTCCTGCGGGTGGCCGGATCTCGAGTTGAAGCGAAACTGATCAATACCAGGAGAGGTTGAAAGGACTTAAAAACGAAAGGTGTCACAAGGATCCTTGTGACACCTTTCGTTTTAAGTCCTTTCAACCTCTCCTGGTATGCTGGTTTGCTAGACCGAGCAACACTGGCTTCATAAATCTTCATTAATGGTTCTAATCTTGTATGATTTGTTTGGTTCGACCCGGCCTTTTTGATGCCGTTGCAAAGAGCGACTCCATGGATTTCTCATCCCTTAAGCATGCACTTTCTCACAAGCTGCGAAATCATAGAAAAAACTTTGCACGGAAGCTTCAACGCACACTCTTCTCAAGCACCGTTTTATGGAACACATGTATTCCCCTTTAGAGACTGAAGATGTGTTTTATTCGGTTGCCATACTGAACTTGTTGACTGCCCATCCCATAGCTTGCGGACAAGAAACTCGGGTGAGAATCCGTCCACTACGCCGTTCGAATAGGCCTTGCCGATGTCATCATTCAGCTTCTCCAAAGCCGCTTGTTCCTGCACAAACTTCTCGTACATCCTCGGTGGTTGGGACGATCTGCTGCGAAGGGGGTACCAGGAAGAAAAGGCAAGACCTTCAAGCCTACATGGGTCTACATGGTAACATGGTGGAATTCATGAATGAAACACAGGCACCGATTTTGAATCTCATTGAGAGTGGTCACCTCCTTATACTTGTTAGCATAGTCACTCATTTTGCCGATGCGTTTTGCCAAGGCTGTCCTGAGCTCCGACTTGGAATAAATCGGAATCATGTACTGAACAGTTTTGGGGTGTCCTTTCGAAATGGAGATACCAAACCCGTATAAAAGCTGTTCATCGAGTTTCATCATTTTTTGCGCATTGGAGCTTGGAAGGGTATCTTTGACAAGTTCTGGTAACCCTGCAGCCTTGCGTTGCTGGTTCTGTCGCGCAGTTGCATTCTTGGCCTGCTCCATTGGGGCGCCCTCCAAAGCACCTCCAGAACAAAACACAAAAAAGTATCCACTCTATTGTTGCCAGACTTTGGTGGTCACTACAACCAGTGAAAGACCCGTTACAGATCTCCTATGATTCTCACCACTTTAGGAGCCTTCCGGTAGATCTCCTACACTGACATTGCCAGGGGTGCCGGTCTCCAAGTCGCCACCCTCCTCATCAAAGTCCTCCGACCACTGGAGGCGGCGATTCAGTTCAGTGCGGCTGCCGCGCCTGGTGACAGAACCGAGGACACGTAGGGAATGGGGTGGGTGCGAACGCACATGGATCTTTCAAGACCTTTGATTAACTTGCATCGCCAATGGCCACCTTTTCTCAATGACATGGTTCTTTTCAACAAAGGGTCTGACTGACATAAGCTGTGAGGACTGAAATATCTCTTAAATTTCACTATTCAAAGAACAGGCTGAAAAAGCTGGTTGAAGGTTTGTGAACATTTTGTGAAATAAGTATGACAATGCTCCATAATCCAAGATGCTTCATCGAAGTCTTGACTCGTCGCTCCGCCCAATAGAGAGTGATGTCCTCGTATTTGTCCCGCCTGTCGCAGAAAGGAAGACAGCTCTTTTGAAAGGACTTGCCTTCAAATACAGAAGTACCAAATGGGTCAAAACGCTCTAAACATAGGTCTTTGGAGCGTAGCCCCAGACCCATCCCCAACAAACAAAAACGAAGGATATTACTATAGTTTCTATGAACCACTCGGCGGGTTCCCCATTGATGCCGGAGCCTCATGAACTTCTTCGGGTCCTGGCGGCAGAAGTTCATGA